GTCATGTAATTTATCATCTATGTACTGGCCACACATAGCTGATAATTTTGCATGATAAAATCTGACGTGTGCGCACACAATTTGGAATAATTATTCATAACGATTAGATCTAACATTTTTTTTATTCTGTACTAGTTTGATGACGCTTATGATGGAATGTGCAGTCTTCGGAATTTTGAGATTGATAGACAGGAAGAAGAATTACCAGACGAGACTATTAAAAATAATTTGCGAATATTGAAAGGGAATCTTAAAAGAAGCAAATCTCGATATGCCAAAATTTTGCGAAAGAGTATAGGTAAGGTTAAATCCTCAGAACTTTCATGGCGTGATCCACTTGCGAGTCAGGTTCTTAGTAGTGAGATGGAGATGGTTAAGCAATTACCAGAAGAAGAATATGAATCTTTCATGGTAAGAAAAAAATATCCCAATTTATAGAACAAAAAATAATGTTTGAAATGATATTACTAGGAACTGGTGAAATATATGCAAGCGTCTCTTCCTAACTTGATCAAAACAACATGTGACGAATTTTTGATAAACTATGACGATGATTCTACGGAAATACCACCACAAAAACTTTCGCATGAAAATTGGATAGAGAAAGAAGAGGTTTTAAAAGATATTACGATTAGAATACTTAATACATTGTAAGTATAATATTATTCCATTCATAAGATTATACCATATTGATGTTCCAATACTATTAGGGGGGAGATCTGGAAAAACCCAGCCTTTAGTCCTAAATTCGCTAAAACACAGAGTGAGAGAACATACGTGGCAGACATTATTGTTCCTATTATTCGAGCTACATTAAAAGATTTGCTAATCGGAAAATCCGCATATATTAGCACGTGAGTTAACTATCTCATTTTTTTCTTGGTGTTTTTTTTTCATGCAGTCACATGTTTTAATTTTCTAACACTGCAAGGCGGAACGTCAAAGCGTGGCTAACAAAGACAGAAGAGGAGGGAAAGGAAAACGCCCAGACATTATGTTCATAGCGAAGCATATGGATAGGATCTATGAGTTAGTTTTTGCTGAATGTTCACGTATTATTTGTAGTGATGTGAAAGAAGATGATGATAAAGT